TATATATATATAATCTGCATAGCATTTAAGAATAATAGAAGTAAGCAGCTCAACTTGCATTTTTGCTGCAAATATGAAAGTTCTTGATCCCTCTTTTCAATGTTTTCCAGTGAATGACATCATAAGAAGAGACATGAGAGGCCACAATGGAGAGTGATCATGCTGCTCTGAAGCCACTCAAAGTTTAAGCATAATCTGTAGACATCAAGAACAAGAACAATAAATCTTCAGTAACTGTAATTTAAGCGAAACGATAGAGACTGATCCGTTATATACCATATTTCTGTACAACTTTGAAGGGTCAGCTCCATTTCCATTTTGTTATCATATATTTCAGCCTTAGTAACAATACTGGATCATATATTCATAATACTCTTTTATTTTAACTTGTTTAACTTCTTTCTGTTTATACAGTTGTAAAATTGCTCGTTGTAAGCTTGTAGAAAATTTTTTATATTAAACATATTCTTTGTATATGAATCATGGTGTTTGAGTGTTGACTTACTGACTGTAATCATTTTGTTACATATAGGAAGCAGAAGGAACTAAATAATAAATGTGTACCTTTTTTAAGTTATAGAAAATACACAGCACTGTGCAAAAGCCTTGAGCTAGCCCTCATTTCTATATAATTTTGTAGGAAAATGAATAACAGGTGAATTTATTGAAGCATACAAACATAAATGTAAATACAGTATATAAGGCAAAAACAGAGGTTGCACAGTTCTAATCAGCTTGAAAGAAAGTCAATATTTGGTATGATCACTTTTTCCCCTCAACACAGACTGAACTCTCTTAGGCAGCTTTCTTGTAGTTTCTTTAATTAGTCTTCAGGAAAAGTTCTCCAGGCTCGATGAGTGGCATCCTTTATTGCCTTTTTGTTTCATTCTCTGCAAAGATAATTTCAAGCTGAATGTTTAAAATATTGTTTTAGATTTATTTCGGGTTTAATTATTCCATTATTTGATTGTAAACAGGAAAGCTATTTTGCAATGTAGGTGGCAGCAATTAAAAGGCATTAAAAGCATTTTGCATCTGAACTCACGTATTAATATCATGACTCACATTTTGACTGTCTCCTTTTTACAGAAGTAAATAAGGAGAAACCTGATGACATAAAACGGTTTTAATAACCGTTGCAATAGAAAGAGGGAAAACGAGAGTGTGAAAGGACTCATTCGTGCTCATATGAACTTGGAAAAACTGCATAGAAATGCAGTAATACTACATGCAGCGATACTAAAAAGCACACTTGAGAGAAAATATTGGCGGTAATTATCTTGATTAGCAACACTTATTAACTTTTACGCTTCATCTTTGAGGCGAGGCTGTAAAATATTTAGTGGGTGAAAACCTCTCGAGTTTTTTGGATGGAAACTTATTTCCTGTAAAGCAGTGGCTCTAAAACAGCCATGCATCATCGCTGGTGAAGCACAGAAACTCTGCTTGGAGAAAAAAAGAAGCGTTTGCCACCTTGATGACATTTATTTCACCAAATTTATCTTTGATTTTCTTTTTTGTCTTTTCAATTTATTTATTGTTCACTGTGGATAAAATCTCGCCGCAAGGATTAAAAATATGAAAAATAAAATAAAATAAATAAAAACTCTTCTCCACGAACGTTAGAGGGTGTTGTTTTCAAGCCAATCCTCTATCGGAGCGGAAGGAGATGGCGGATTTATGATGTCATTTCCGACAAGTGATTTATTTTCTCTCCCTTTGTGAACTACTTTAGCTTTTTTACGTTAGAAGAGCTGACTTTGGTGTTTGCATTCCTGTAGCGGTAAAACGAGGCAAGTACTTCCATCACTGGTGAGCTTCCCCCCCCCACTTTCCGCTCTCGAACACTGTCTTGCCAAAGTGCTTCGCTACATTGTAACGCTGTGAGTGTGTGGTAGCTAGGCGTATCCACAATAAAGTAAATATATAAAGTAAGCATGAAATGCGTTTATGTTTTAGTCCGTTTGAGTACAGTGGAGCAGAGTGTCTGTTTTATTCACATTTTTAAGAGAGTCTGTTTAAAAAGTGGCCGCTATGAGGCAGAGTAACATCTCAACACATAATCTCTCTCTTTCTTTTTAATGCACCCTGTCGTCACTTAATGATTTACATGTCTTTCTTCTACCGTTGCTCACGTTGATTTCACAGGCAGGTCACCGGAGGAAGCGTAACAGAGCAGGGTCATCATGTCTGCAGAACTGGACTTGTCCACTCCAGAGATCCCTGAGCCTACCCTGCTAGAAAGCATACTGCGCTATGGGTTGTTTCTCGGTGCTATCTTTCAGCTTATTTGCATCCTGGCTGTCATCTTCCCTTCATCCAAGGGCCACGAACAGGTGGGTCTTATAGAGAGGTGTGCTTGCCCATCCTGAGGGGTGTACTGTGAAGGAAGTTCTGCATAGTCAGGCTTTCTTTGTGTTATCTGAGTATCACTAGAGCAGTTATCCACCAGCTTTGGTAACTGTGGTTTTCTGTTGACATGAAAGCCCAACATTTCTGAAATCGTGATCATCAAGCACTCTCTGTGGTCAAAATAAATGTATGCTTCATCTCCAGTTATGTTTATTTTACTGCTATGTGTGGTTTTGTTGTTACAGTTTATTTCAGCTGCACAATCCAGCTGTGAGGCTTTTGGTGCATGTAAATGCTACGCACGGCTAAGACTCTCCTCCAACTTAATAAAAGGGACAGTGAATTCATTTCAGTTTGTCGCCAAAGTGAAAGTAAAATTACTGACTGAGTAGGTTGTTTTAGTGATGAATAGCCAACAAAAGGAACAAATTGATTTTCTAATCTGTGTTTTAGTAGCTGCAGTTCCTTCAGTGTAAAAGCAGTAGGACCAAATATTTAAAAAAAATTCATACACTGTATGAATGCAAATTCTCATGACAATGGTTTATAACAAGCTTAAAAGAGAGCCATCTTCATCACACTGAACACTCTGACATTAAATTTAACAGAGCTCGGTAACCCATTGATCTCTGCATACTCCTCCCCCCTGGTTTAGCTTGGGGTAAGGTTGGTTTCATTGAGCATCACAGGAAGGATGTGAATAAGTCTGGGCTCAGGTGAAACAGAGAAGGATGCACAAATCAATAGAACTGAAGCACAATGCAGACAGTTGAGTCAAATTGTCACTGTACACCATATGCCCATCCTGATGTTTTTCTTCTCTTGCATGAGCACCCAACAACTGTTATTCTCGGTTGTTACACACGATGTTATTTTTTTCTTCATTCTTAGAATGACAGTATGAGTTTGAGGGGGTAAAAATTGTAGGTGTATTAGAAATACATTAGGAAATGTCTACAATTGCATGCGCATTTGTTACATCACAGTTAACTTATTCTATTCCCATTTTTAAGGAGATATTAATGTGTAATCATCAACCTAATTTACACTTTTTAGGCTATTTTACTCTGCTTTAGAGTGATATATGGTATAGAGGCTGTGCTGTAACACCACACAGATCCATCATATGTCTTTTGTTATGTCACAGAAGAGTTTAATTGATTACATTATGGTTTCCAATGAGTTAAACACATTAACGTAGTTATACTATGGAACAGCTAATGTTAACATTAGAATACTGAAAGTAAAATAATTAAATTTTTATTATATTTTGCCTGTCACATTTAGAAGTTGATCTAAAAAGAAATACAGAGAAACTGGGCACCACTTAGCAAGTGTAGTGCTGAGTCTCTTGTTTTAGAAAGTCTGTGAAGACGGGGCTACTTTCACAATCTCCATAATAACAACTGTCAGGAGAGATTATTTATAGACAAAAGCAATTAAATCCACTGTCAAATTACTCTATTTTCAGGCATCATTATCAGATGCACTGATTACTCTCCACAGTATGTCGCCATTTCATCTTTTTTACAGCAGCCTGCTGTCGTTCCTACCCACCAGAACAATGGGAAAGATTACACTCACAGAAACTAGGCTGGCAGAAAATAAAAAGTGCTGAAAAATGTCAGTTTCTTTTGTCTGCTGTGTACAGTATTTGTCTGGGAATTTCATTCAACTGTCTGTTAATACTGCAATAGTTTAATGTAGAGATGGAAAACTGCAAACTGTATAAACAGCATTTAAAATGTATAATACTTACCCCATGTGGATAAGAAGACAAATTAAACGCACTCTTTATGACAAGTTCAGCATGGGGGAAAATGATGAATAAAATGACATTAGCATTATATTTACTAGTTATACATGAATCAACTGGCTGTCAGTATATAAAGTGACCTAAATAGCCTCTAACTTGTGAGCTACATCCTTCTTTCAGCTGCTCCAGGGTTCGGCACTCTGGTGATCTGCCTCCACCTCTTCTATTCTATTCTGACCACTGGCCACTGCACTGTACAATGTCCATTGCTTTTACTTCTATGCAGTATGTTGTTGTGGATATTTGCATTATTTTATTAAAGTTAGGGTTGTGAAATGCTGGACTTTTTTCACTATATTTCCATTTTTAAGTGAGTGCCAAGGACAAATGAAAAGACTGTTCCTTTGGAGGTTGTTCAGGGTGCTCTGTGTTTGCTCTGCAGGAGGAAGCCGAGTCCACTGACGTAAAGGCTGCTGAACAGATAAAGAAACCTAAAGGACCAACACCTCAGCCTCGACAGAAACCAAAGAAAGAGAGCAAAAAGAAGCGATAAATATCTGTGTGCATGTCTGTGCACGCGCGTGTGTGTGTGTATTATCTTGAGAATGTGTGTGTTGGGTCATTGCCAACGTTATAAGAATTTCGTTATTACAAGTGTAAGCACTAATTTACAACAATTTTAAAAAAAAATTAAAGAGGTGTGTTGAATTTGAGGCACAAGAAAAGGACCAACTACATCCTGTTCAACACATTACAAAAACAGCTCATTATCATGGTGCTTACCAACAGTTTATTTAGTTACACACCGTATTTCATTGGTTGTGTTTGTTATACATTTTCTTTTGTAACAATTGAATATCATTGGTTGAATTGTGTGTTAATAACAAGGCAGAAATAAATGTGTTCTGCAGCCATTCACCTTAGCAGTTTACAGTAATTGCCAAACCTCAGTTTCATGTAAAGAAATGAGAAGGACATCATGACCCAGCCTTCTGTATGACAAAACACTTACCTTATAACACTGTGGTTTGGTGTAGTAAATCATAATGCCATAGATGATACCAAAGTCTCACATTGTCCAAAAGTACTAGGTTGTGTTTTCACTCTAAATTTGTAATACAACGACTGTATGTTTAAATGTATTCAAAATTCCGAGATAAACAGTGATCAGATTTTTGCTAATCGTTGCTGCCCTCAGAAAGCCATTTGGTCGGGATGTTTATTACCTCGTTTAGATCCATTTAGCATTTTATTAAAGCGGTAGTATTGCACATATTTTACATGAACTGTCTTGTATAAAGTCTTGATTTTAATCCAAGTATTCCAGACAAATTCTGGCCATCTTGATGTGCATCTGGGCAGTTATTTTTAAATTAATTTTCATTTCAAAGGTTACTGGGACATAAGAATTGCACGTATAGAGTTACCAGTGAAATTAAAAAGCTTTTGGGAATTCTACTTCCAATATCAGCTATTGCAGAGTTCCGAGGGTTCTATGAGCGACATGGGCCTACATTATAGTGCCTCTGCTTGCATATATCTTCAAGGTAGTTGACTGTGTCATTGAAAAAAGTACTGGGATTGTACGCTTTACTTCTCCTTGAAGTAGTTTCAGTTCTCCGCTTAAACTACTGGAAACTTGATGCGGGAGTGTGGGAGAGGATATCAGCTGATAGATGATAAACACCGCTAAACGCCGACCGGGTTCCGGTATCACTGCACCAGCAAAAACTTACCATTAGGGAAGTGTGTGTCGCTTAGCAACCAATTTTCCCAGTCGGCTAAATGGAGCTTTTCAGCAAACGACAGACGTAAACATACAGGGCACGCGCGTCGTGTCTTATTATCTTTATTATAAGAATGTTTTCAGTCGTGACTAATAAAAAGATATTAGGAAAACCCAAACGGGGGGGGGGGGGGGTATTTCTGTCAACGCCGCGGCGAATTTAACAGCCGGCGTCGAGTTACGCAAGGTGACGTGAATGCTCCCGACGTTACTGCGTAAAATCCAGCCTCCCCATATTTGCGCTCTCGTGTTTCGTTGGTGATGCATTATCTAGTGCCTTCCCCCCCACGAGGCATGTCTTTTCCACACTACACCACTCCTGCTTCGTCTCACCAATTTACCGCGCCGCCGACCCTTCCCAGCTGAACAGGTTTGCCCGGCCCACCGCAGCCGCTCGGCAGCTGTGCCCCCAGCTCCTGAAAGCAGTCCCCGTCATGACCTCCTCCTCCTCCTGTGATTTTGCCGAAATTCGCTAAATGGGATTCGTGGCTGGCCCGGGGTTTCCACAGCAACTGGCCATCCGATTCCATTATTTTTCTAATGAGGACAGCCGTTCGGATCTAACACGGTTCCTCGCTGCGCGTCTCTGATTTTTGGGCTAAATCTCAAGACGCGTCAAAGGTAAGTTAATTACAGCTCGTAGCAGTTTAGTGCGATAATGCAGATTTATTTCGGCATTCAATGTCGGCTTTTCTTTTTTTTCTTAAAAAAATGTGTGCTGCGCATTTTTCTCTCACGGATGTTTCACACAGGGATTGATAAGCTACCCCCCTCTTCACTGACTTGTATTTTCATTGTTGCACAGGCCATTCACTCGCACATTTGGCCAGTGCCACTCAGTCTGTGCCAGGGCTAGGTTGTTGACGATTTACTACGCCCCGCAAAATGCAAAGCGTTTGTGCAAATCTCTCATTTTTGTCTTGGCGATCATCACGAACACTCGGGAAGACGCAGCAAATCGGCTGCGCACAGAAAATAAAGCCAACAATCCATCGAAATTCAAAATGGAGCTGTAGCAGCACCTGTTTTGGTTCATCAGGCCGCATATGCGCTGTATGTGAGCCAAAGCCTACGACACTCACTGGAGCATTGTCCCTTTTTCATCATTATTATTATTTTTGTCCCGGTTCCCATTCACAAATCACTGTTTACGAGCCTTGTGGGCATCTGTTTAGCAAACACGAACAGTGAACGTTTTTGATTTCATTCTTTCTAATAGCAAAGACATTATCATTTTTGACAGCTGCTGATCCTGTAGGCAGCTACTACCCCACCCCGTGTTTCTTTGAAAGCAGCTTTGCTCACAACAACTGGCGTTTAATCCCGTGGAAATAGAGTTTTTAATTATGTGGTTAATCTATTTAGAGTTGGTTTGGGGGCTCTGGACGAGCTCCAGCTTATTTCCTTACGGCGGGGGATTCAGGTTTTTGGCTTGAATCATGGGAATGCTCAGTATTGGATGTTATCACTGGATGAAGATGCAAGCATTATGTTAGCAAATTATGAAAGAACATTTAAATACCTTGTTGAATTCTTACAAGTGCATTTCAAGCAAAAAGAGTGCAGGAAGTGGGTGAAAATGCATCATAATCCCCTCATGTGGCTGTGAAAGATTGAAATTTGATATAGGCCTGCAAAAATATTTTTTTTAATGATGTAGGTCTACTTTTTTACAAGTTGCAACAACCCTAGATATCGTCTTAATACCATTTGTTTTGTCCAGTCAACCGTCCAAAACATCAATTTACTCTCATAACAAAGAAAACCAGAAATAAATGACAGAAGTGAAAGCTTCTTTAATGTTCAGTTGTTCATTAAAACTGATTAACTGACTGCCAGTTAACAATCAGACAGGCTGTTGTGAAACAGTATGTGTGTAAAATGACTTTTTCAAGAGAACAGATTCAAAAAGCAGACCCCGACTTTATTTTAAAGTCCTGTAAATAATAAAAAGGCTGTGTGTAAATGACCTAGAATGACACAGCGTCATTAATAAGATATATAAATTTGTAGACTGAACGACTGATGTCCTGTAAAATTAATCCGGCTGCAGCAGCTGTTCCTTTTAGTCCGGATCGCTCGCTGCCAGAGCCACAAGTTAAAGATGGGCGGAAGTGGGTTTTATCAGCTGAGTGCCACAGTGCCCCTCTCCTCTCCACTTATCTTCCTCCACTGCTTTTTTTCCTCGCCTTTGCTGAGTGTGTTGGCTTCTAAGGAAGAGGGAAGATGAATTGAGACAGCTAGACAGAGACTTTCACTTTCCAAAGTCTGTGGGATTTAATCATAAAAAGAAATGGGAGGAAAAAAAACACAGAAAATCTGATTTGGGGAGTTACAGGACTAAAATTGGAGAAGGCTCGATAGTTATGCGACTGCATTGTCTTTTTCTCTCTCTGACCTTTGCTATATATAGATGATCTGTACGTTACGCATGTATCTGTGGACTGCATTGTTCATCATGCAACATCTATATGGGAATAAGACAGCGACACTAATGTGCACATTTCCTCTCGTTTTAATCTTGAGGAACCATCATTACTACGCCCCCACCACCACCACCACCCCCTCGCCTCCCCTCCTCTCCCCTCCCAAGGGCAAACCGTAATTTTCCCATTCAGCTGAAACATTGGCTGGAGCTGTCTTTCCTCTCTGCAGCACAGTGGCAACTGTTACCGTCTGTTGTGACTCAGTGAGGTTTGTCGTGGCCAAATGTGCTTATGTGCCTGACCAGACATGTTGAGCTTGTGAGCTCAGCCTTAGATGAAGGATTACGAAGGTTAATATGGAACTCCAAACGTTTTTTGGTTGGTTTTTTTTGGCAACCTATGCAAAATAAGAATGACAAAAATGAGAATGATTGCACTAAAACACTCCTCAACTGTAAGTAGTGCTTTAAAGCAGTCATTTTGTCAGAAATTCTTAGGATGGGTCCTTTGCATTATGGCTAATTATGCTATTTAACATTTAGGGACTTGATTGTGTCTACTGAAGAGATGGGTAAAGATGCTGTACACCAGAGAATATTGTTATTGGATGATCAAAGATTTAATGGTTATGTTACTATTTCAGTTTAAGTTGATCTAACAGACAACATCTGCAGTTTTTATTCTGTGCAAGAAAGCATTAAGATTACTTGAAGCTCATCTACAGCTTCTGCATTATTATTCCGGTGAAGTGGATATCTTCCAGTCTTTTTCGGACTAAATTTTGTCATTGTTTTCTCAAACAATGGTTCCTTGTTGAGATGCGGGCAAAGGGTGGTAAAAAAAAAAGGGGGGGGGGGCTGCAATGATTGTAAAGGCTGCATAATTAGGGATTCAGCTTGAAAATAATTGCAGAAAAACAGCACAGAAGTGTGCTTTGTTGAGTGTGTAGATTAAGATATCCGTGAGACAATGAATTACAATGCAGAATTTCAGTAGGACTAACAGATTAACAAGTTTAAAGGTTTAACAGATGGATGCTACCTGGAGACAAACAAAAGTGGTGTATTTTCTCATTAAAAGCTAATCCACAGCAGCAATGTCAATGGCAATCTACCCCAACAGCGTTGAGGAAGCAAAGCTGCAACACAGCTGACTGCAGCAAATGTCAGCTCTGTAGGGATGAGGTTGAAGTTGGGATTCCACCAAGTCATTCTTTGGGGAAAACAGATGTTTTTCCCTTACAAAAATATCGAAGAGCTGAACATATTTACTGATAAAGGCCAGCTTTGACCTGCTGTGCACACGAGGAAATGTCAGGTATGACTGGCATTGTGGATAACTGTGCACTTTGACCCCCT